AAATTGTCAACCTTGTGTTAAAAAACAACACTTGCTAGTAGAGAATAGGTTAAGCATGATTTGCATGGCAGTAGAACGAGATTGTGAAAGTGAAGAGTTTGGCAAAATAGAAGAAAAGGAAGGAAAGAGAGACGAAATGATTGAGTCAAAAGTAATGGAGGGAAGGACAAAAGGGTAAAAGAGGTGAGGGAGGGTAGAATCAGAGGGCGATTTTCGACGTAGCAAATCGATCATATCGAGCATAATCGTGGCAGTTTTGCACCTAATTATATGCAGACCAACAACGTAGCTGTAGGTGTCGGCTAGGGGGGGGGGGGCAAACTCGAGCAAGAGCCATACCTGAGGAGGGGGGCAGGCTTTAAAACAAGAAAAAAACCAACAGGTATATTTGGACAAAATCAAGATCATGGAATTCTAAATATGCCAAATTTTCAAAATATCCTTTGGAAAAACTGTAACCAGAGGGGGCAAGCTGTTGTCAAAAAGCACAGCCCCCCCCCTCCGTGCCCCCTGCAGCTGCGTGGCTGATGCAGACATGAAGCTATTCCTATTTCTCGTTGCAAGTTATTTCACCTTAGAATTTCTGCTAATCATTGCAGAACACTTTGTACATTATCAAATTAATTGATACTTCGGTAACATCAAGATTGGTCACATCGTAAAACTTAAAGATAATATTCTACTGCAGCAAATAATTCCCCTCTTGGAAGTCCGCCTTTGACAAAGCGTGATTTTAACCAAGAGCTTTTAGTAACTACTGCTTTCATTTTCGTAACGGCCAGCAACATAGCTCATCGAGACCTTCCTTATTGTTATGATTATTATTATTTTTATTGTTTTCCTATTACCATCCACATAGTGCTTGTCTTCCTAATTCTCTGTACAATCAAAATCACATGCACATTGGATTCGACGTTTTCAATTATTCTTTACAGTTAAGAAGGCTAGAAAAGATTTTTCCATTTAAACAAGCAAACACTTGTACAAAACTGTGAAATCCTGTTTGCTCAAGACAAAGATGATTACATAGCCCTAAGTGAGTAATCAAGGCCTACGTATAAAAGATCTCCCTGTATTGTGACGTAAGCAAACAACCAGATTTTAGATTTATTTTCGGTTCGAAAACTCTTTTATGCCTAATCCTTAGAGAACTTTCTTAATCTAAATGTTTCTTTGAGATATACCGCAATGCATTAACGAGCCCATGTATAGCAACTATGTGGTCAGTTGCGAGCGAATTCAAGACACAGTGGTTTAAACCATCGCCAGCAGTCATTTCTTATAACACGATTCTCAGAATCCTTTTTGGCAATCAATCGCCACTATCGTCTTAAATGATTAGTTTTGCTTCATTTCTCGGTCATAGTTGTTTACATCAGAAATTCCGTTTGCACTCTAATCAACTTGAATGTTCATTTTCTAATTTACTTATTGGAAAAATTGGTTTATGTATTTATAGTTACTTGTTATTTGGACATATGAAGAAAAGCTCTTTGAATATGCTTGGAATTTTGAATGGCACACTAAGAGCACGTTTTTCATATTTTTACTACAAAATAGTTCTTGCCAATCATCTTTAAGAGAGTTTGAAGAAATGTAATGTCCTTTACTCCTGTTCGCTTTTATAAGGATCATAATTATAACTTATGTGTGGAAATTTGCGGGTTGAAAAATTATTTTCACCTTTACACAATTATTTTCGCGTTTAATACTTCGTAGATGTCTGCTCAACGGGAAGCTATTAACAAATAAACAAATGTTGCTCGAGAAGACACGTAGAGAAAATCGAGTCCTGTCTGCTTCGAGTCAAATTCATTTCTTACTTTTCAAATCTACAATTATCTATACCGTTACTATAAGAATAAATTTGATTTTTCATTGCGACAGGCTTACCAGAAGCCAACAAATGTCTGCTTAAAAGTCAGTTTATGACACTGATGAAGCATTCTTAATTTACCTTTCATATGTATCCTTCAGTAATTACAAACAGGTCACCTAAGTTAGCGAAAACGTCAATTTACTTAGCAGCTTCTGCAAGAATTGACATCGTATTTTTTAAGTTTTCACGAAATTTCATAATCAAAATGATAGGTTAGAAGAAGTATCCTTGTGGAGCATCAAAAAATCCATTCCAAAATATTGTGGCACGCAATAATAGATAGATGCCAGCATATACGATTTATATGATAGCTTTTAAAGTGAAGGTAATCCTATTTGATTTTGTCATAGTCTACAAAAGTGCAAATAACTTTCAATACGTCAGCGAGATAATTCTAAAAGGGCATTTCATATCAACAAAAGCTTTTCGTCTGTTGTAAGCCGCATGGGTATTGGCATAGCGAAGCCTTGAGGTTACTCTTTCAAGCTTAGGCGCCTATCTATGATAATCGCTACCAAAATCGCGCAAAAATGTGACAAAGATTGATCCTATTATCGGTCATCCCAATGACTTAATTAACTAACCATAAATTTGGTACCATGCACCAAGTGAAGCAATCTCGGTCATGTCACCTCTGATCTCTTCTCTGTTTACTTCTACCGTAGAGCGCTAGCTTAGTGGCTTACGAAAAAATGATGAATGATCATACACAAAACATTCTCGGTTGTCATGATTATGTGAAAGCATCGTTGAGTGTCATTGCTATCTGAAAATTTCGTTGATTTTCATGATCATTCAATCACACGAAAACATTGTTGGTTGTCATGACCATGTTAATGTATGGTTGATTTTCATGATCATATAATCATATAAAAACATTGTTGATTGCCATGGCTATGTGAAAATTTCGTTGATTTTCGTGATCATTCAATCAAATGTAAGCATTGTTGGTTGTCACAATCATACCAAACTACCGTTGATGGATAAGATCATGTTATCATATGCAAGCATCATTGATTGCCATTGCTATGTGAACAATCATTCAAACAACAACAATGTTGGTTGTCATGATCATGTTTGGTTGATTGTATGGTTGATATTCATGATCATATAATCATATGAAAACATCGTTGGTTGTTATGATTATGTTTAAGCATCATTAATTAGAGAAAGCGAAACACTGTAGCTTTCCACGATCGATAAATACACAGCTAATCTAAATACCATATGTAATATTCATTCTTTTCAGTGTCTAAGAGGAATGGGTTTTACTTACCTGGTACAGCGCATGATGTTTCAAACATAAGGAGATTTTGGGATTTATTCTAAAACAATGGCATTTCGTCAAAAGTTACTAGATTTTACTTGGTAGAATTCGTCCCAACACAAGTGTACTGTTTTCTTCTAGCGTCGAAAAATTGCAGTTTATTTAAAGTTGTCTTTTACGACCCATTTTTCGCCCCAATAATGTTAACAAAGACCCTGGTAGCATAAGATTAGGATTGCATTTAATGCATTAGAATGGTAACATTTCGTTATATCTGTTTTACAGCCATGTGGATGGCTATTCTTTCAAGAGCAGATGTGCCAAGTGCGCTAATTAACGCAATAAGCAGGTTTTGCTGTCCAAGTCCTCATTATTTGTCGAAGGGGCCTTTTCAAAAAGATTCAAGCAGAAAACTGGGCCTGTCTTTTATGATTTGTCATTAAAACTTAAGTTGCTAAATTGCATTTTCCAATCTCACATCCGATAACACATTTGAACATCATTAAATCTACAGGGAGTTATTATCTTTTTGCCTGTGTGATAATTTTGTACAAGAATATATGCAAATGACCTAATTACAAGCAAGAATAACAATAATAAGACTTTTATGCATGAATTAAGCTCGAGATAACCCTGTCATTAACGATTCCCATGCGCGATATCCCAGGTTCAAGTCTTCTTTCTCGCATTGTTGTGCCTTGTGGTTGATCATGTCCTTACGACACCGTTATTCATACCATGACATCTGCTACCTACCTGAATCCGTCTAATAACTTATCTCAAAGTTTCGCGCAAATCTAAAAGAAAACAGATTTTCGCGTGCATATAAAACTATCATTGCGATGTGGCATCAAATAAGTTTGTTTTTCTTTAGAATATCGAGCTGCGACCGTGTATAAAACACAGACCAGAAGGACCATGGACTCACTTTTTTCTCAGCCTCGATGTTGCAATGAGGCTTGCGGGGTCAAGACATTCGGTGTATTTCGACATTCTCAATGAGCATGACTGGTTATAGAATTCAAAAGAACCGTAGGAAAACCATTTTTTCTTATGTCATATTTGACAAAGTGATCAATTCCAACTACCTGTATTCCAAAAATGAATACTTCTTCATATAAAGTTCTGATGCTAAGGCTGAAGCACTTATCTGCAGTCTTAGCCAGGTCCTTCCTTGACCCGTTTAAAAACTTTGCTTCTAGAGAAATTTCCTCCTGTGATGGTATACACATTACTAAGCTTATTTAACAGAAAACAATATTTTTATCGGCATGGTCAATATAATAGGGGCATCATTGAAACATCACATAAAAACAAGACAGCTCAGCTCAGCCTAGATGCATCAGCTAGACCTTACTCTTTTATAGAAATTCGAGTAAAGACCATCATCTCCTTCTTTATCTATTCTGCAAGGAGGGGCTTTCCTTCCCATTCTTCGTTGAGTCCTTGAAGTTTGTTTTTACTCATAAACTCATCTTTAGGTCAAATTTTTATTCATCGCCCATTATTGAGTTATTAGAAAACCTCAAATGCATGATATCGTTGTGAAAGCTAACATAATTTCCGCTTCTAATTAGCCATCTACCGGCGGAGGCGTTCTGGGTCCACTGGTTCCGCGAATCACACTTACAAGCAGTGCGCAAGGCGCTAGAAATTGCAGATAGCCGCGCTTTGTTCGGACGGGAATTTTCGCTTTGTCCATCTCGGGGCTTATTATGCTTTGCTTTGGTTAACGTTATCATTAGCATTAACACGTGTGTATTGGACAGGACAATGTTTTCATAACGTCGCTGCAGACGCGGTACACAATGAGCAAATTCTATTGGTATAATGTTTATTTCCTCCATTTTACAGATTGAATAGGATTCACCCGTTCGCACGATTCACTGCTGTTAGTTCATTTCGCTCCAGAAGTTGTGGAGCTATGGCCGTTGCCTTACGCGTATCAAGCTGGCACCTCGTTGTATGCTGTTGCCTTCCCCTTTTCGCTGCTCTTGTTGGAACAACTGGTGAGTTTGATGTTTTTAGATTTTTGATTTCACAAAAACCTTTTTAGAGCTGCGAATCTTGTATGTTTAGCTGCAAGCTAGCCGTAAATTTCTGCCAGCTACATCTCTAACCCTAAACTTTCCTCAATGAAAGACAGGCACATTTTACGAGGATCTTTCTTCTTAATTTGGCCGTATCCAAGAATTTGAAGCCAAGTAGGAGATAAGTGATCGGGTTAGTGATAAGTGAAATTGTAATGAAAGTACTGCGTTTGATAAAAATGATATGTAAGATGGGTATATACGGTGTTTTGATAGGTTTATGAATAAGAGTAGAAGCTCTTGATGGCAAGTATGGCATGAAGCGAGAAAAGATATGTTTTTAAATGAATGTATATGTCTTTACTAAATCTGGCCATTATTTAATGCAGATGGACTCAAAAACCAGCAAAATTTCTTTGCATAGAAATCCGTAAACACGACCATTTCATTAACCACAATAGCGTACTCTACCAAATCCCTATTTCTGCATTGGTTTGTTTTTCAAAGCCCGTGACTTAGCCGAGGTTTCTTTGAAGCAGAATATAATTAGCATCCTACTGCTTTGAGTTGTTAAGCTAAGCTGTAACAGGAGCATGTATTTTCTGATATTTATCAGGGTATCCAAACCGAGTATCGAAATACATTGTCTTGTTGACGTGCCTATATAAAGGTCGTTTGATCGGGGTTTAATGTCTACTTTGATTTCAAGGCGGTCGTATTCGCTAAGTTAAGCCATTATTTTCCTATTGGTTATGTATTACAACGTTTCCTTCAATATTTTCGTGCGTAAATACCAAAATATAAAGTTATATCGCTTCGCTATCAGATTATGACTAACAGAATTTCGTCTAATTTGATATGCCCAAGAGGGTCGTCGTCGTCGGTAATTGCAATTAATTGTTCTCAATTGAAATCTTTTTTCCCTGTAGAATTGTACATGTAATCTAAGAGGTAATCGTGTATTCTCCATAGTCAAATTGTCACTATTTTCAACGCCAAAACACAATAAGGACCTTACGTTGGAGTAATTTGCTTGGTGACGTAACAAGGGTGGAATGAAGATGCAACAGCCATGGTCTGACTCACGTTGCATGTATTATTCCACGCATATTTTTACGGAAGGGAAATTTGCTTGATTTTATTCAAAGTGGAGCTAATTCCTTCAAATACCCACAAGATGAACGACTAGAGAGAATGAGAAAATAGAATCACCCCAAAGAATTTTAGTAGCAGATGTGATAAAAATCTCTTTTAGGAAACTGATAAGCAATTCAATCAAAAATGATTTGGTTTTCTGAAACACACCAGTTTATCTCCATACATCAGTTTGCTTTTTATAAAACATTTGAATCCCTTTCTTGGTAATGATAGGTCTCTTCTCTTGGAGTTATCCTTTGTTATAACTGCACATCTGAGACACTACCAAAAGAATGTTTTTATACGAATTTTGAATGTGTAGAGATAATATTGTGTCGTCACCTAAATTCTTGAAAAACGTTATCTCCAGCAGTTTATATCATTGAAATAAATCCTTTATGACGCCTCAGCTCAAGTACCCAAGAGGAACCTCCTCAACAAGCTCAAATACCCAAGGTTTGCTATAAATGCGGCGACACTTTATAAGTTACCCAACAGTTTCCTATCGGTTTTAAACTTTTTTGCTTTTTCTGACGTTGAACTCATATGCGTCTATGATGCGAGTCTATGAAGTTATTTGTGAGAGAATATGCGAGGGCCTGGAATGGAATTGAGAATAGTTGTATCTTCTGCCCACGGCATGCTATTTTTCGTGCTGTCAATTTATTTGCTTCAGAGATACGAAGCAAGATAGATAGTGCGTTATCTGTAGCAACTTACAAACAACCTTAGTTTTGTTGGTAGCATCAGACATGATGATCAGACTCTGATTATTTTTAAGGCAGGTTATTTCACGCGAAAAAGTATTCTCATTCTGTATAGTGTTATCCCCGAGACTTCTTCACTAAAAGGCTGTTAGTACATCACACTTTAAGCTAGATTGATTCGGCTTTTTCACCACAATTAATACAGCACGTTTCCTTCCTCGCTTCAAAGGTGCGAGTTTAGATTCAAGTAGAGGCCTTGGTGTCAATGTTCTCATGTTAACGGGCATTTATTGTAAATCAGCGTGTTTTGTTCTCTGTTTCTTTCAAGACTGCGAGAGGCGTTCTCTAAGAACCTTTTTCTTCAAATGCAAGGAGTCTTTTCTAAAACGGCAGGAATCTTCATTCTGACAGTGCTTACAGATTTTGATATCTTCCAATTGACCTCTCTACAACCTTACCGACAATATTTGCCATCTTCTAAGCATATCTGTTGTTCCCCTTTCTTATTATTTCTTGAAGCACTCATTTTATTTCGCGTGTGCGTTTCAGACAAGCTTTTTTCCGAATTCCTTTACTTTTTACAATACTCAATCTTGCATAGGCACTTTCACACAACTCGCGACTTTGCCAAGGAATAAAACGAATTTGATTTGCTTTTTTATATTTTTAGAGCTAAAACCAATTAATGCCTGGTTGATTAGAAAGATAAAGAATAAACGGTATTTTGATAACTCTAAGCTGATAGATTTCCACCTAAGGGCATATCTCTCTTTTGTAAAGATCTCGCACACCTTTGACAAAAATCTTTTCGTTTCCAAGCAAAATCCTCCGAAATCCCTAAAATTCTATTTTTTGCTGCTTGGAAAAAGGTATGCGCCTTTTGGATTTTGCCCCACACCTTTCCTTGCATCGTCTAAAATCAGGGACGTAGGAAATATTTATAACTTAAAGGGCACTGCCTTTTGAAGTTCTCTTATTTTGGTCTACAGTCACGATTCTGTGAAAAGGCCATTGTAGCAGTAGCTAAAAATTTAGGCTAAAGTGGCCCTTAATCACCCTGAAAGAGCTCTTACAAAACTTTAAGGCACGGTGCTGTAATATTTCTGTTTCTTTCTTCAACACTCGAAACAAGTACTTTTTACAAGATATTTATGGAGGTTATAAGAAAAACTATATTTCGTGGTGTTTTATGAAACTGTGAAAGTCGTGTACGAAAGCCGTATGAGTGGACAAATTCTATACAATGCCAAACGAGTACTGCGGTCTACTGTTGTTCAGAGAGTCGACCCTGCCCAGGCTCTTCTTCAAATCCAATAACCGCCTAATAGCATTGTGAGTTGTTAGAGTAACTTCAAGCAAGCAATCAGAAAGCCATCAATATAATCCTTAAGCTTCTCAATCCAATAAAAGAAACTCGTCATCAATTAGTCCTTAATTGGATTCCTCCTAGATTACATTACTGTCGCATCAAATCTGTTTTCTTGCAATTTGTTTCTAACAAAGTAGCTGGATCTCTTTTCGTATATACTTGATTTCTTCATATCGAATCTCATATAGCGTTTTGCAAATAACCTTCTTATAATTTGAAAATGAAGTAGTTAGGAACACCTTTGAACGGGAAACGGATAGGGGGTTTTCTATGACCAGCTAATATCTTCACCCCAACCCGCTATGAGCAACTTGATGAAGGTTCCGGCTTGTTTCCCAGAGTTTTGCTTAACACGAAGTTGAAAACTTTTGTAAAATATTTGAACAAGAGAAGTTTGTCAGTCAAAACGCCCATGACATAGTGTATCTTGTTCATAAAGAGAATCTTGATCAAAGCTTCTATAGATTTAATGAGCAAGCTGCTAAAACCAATTATTTACTTGTTTTTTGCCTAGCAGTTCTTATCAATGTTGCACCTGCTTTTTGTTTTGTTGGTTCTTGTCCTATTTGCAAAACAGATGTTTTGCAATGCTCTTTGTTTGGATTTTGTTCCATTGAGCACTATTTTCTTATATCCTTGGGCTTCTCAGGATTGAATTGAATCTCTCTTGTATGTTAATAACTGACCATCAAAAATAGCTGATAATTGAGGCAGTTGAAAATTAATTGTTCAAGTTTCTTTAAGACAGATACATGAAGCTATTACGTAGATTTGAGTTTTTGAAATAGCCCCTAGGTTGCCTATTGCCGAATAATACAGCCGTTGTATTCTCCAGAATGTTTTTAGACTCCCCCCCCCCCAGTCTCTTTTTCTGGCCACCTAACTTTTCCTCCCGAGAGTGTGAATTTCCTTTCAGCCCGCCTGAATGATATTCAACCTGACCCTGTTCTAGTATACAGTTCTGCCTTAGAGATCTTTTGAATACTGCAGTTTACTATCATAACGTAGCCTAAAGAAACTCTTATACCCAAGTTAATTAAAATGACCTCATCTAGGGGCATATCAGCTAGGTTTCTTCCTTACTTTTGGAATGTTTCCAGCGTTAGATGCAGAGAAATTTGAAAACTCGAACAATTCGAGCTTTGAAGGTTTTTGGGAGCATTTTGTTTGACACTTCACGGATTAGGGAATCATCCGCCAAATTGGATCAGCGCATGAAAAGGTTTATTACCTCTGGAGGCTATGATAAGAATTCAAAGGATTGGTATCTTTGGTTTGCCACCAACAGCGGGTTTATCGTCCTGTATACGAGTCTGTATAGCATGAAGCAAGGTTTCTTTACACGAGTAGAAACAGAAACACGATCCGTTGATTAGCAGAAAATTACCAGTTTTGCTAAAATTGTTATACAGGCACGCCCCATAGACCCGCGAAAAAGAGCTAAACCCCCTTGGGGTTGTCTATTTAAAGTGAAACCAAAAATTTCTCAGTGACGTCAAAATGCAGTGAATCTGGATTTCTCTAGTCGAAGAAATTTCTTTGCGTGTTTGGACAGATTTGAGGGCAATTGTTTTGAAGATTGGGTAGGGGCCCAGTTCCCTCTTCGCCCTTGCATCTGCAATTTCTTCGAACTTATTAGGTTTTTTCTTAATTAATGAGTCATATGAAATGCCACCTTATAAGAAAAACAACTAAAAAATCTCAAAACGTCAATAGTTATTGCAAGTTTCCAGACACTTTTGATATTTTAAGCCATTTTCTTTCCC